AGATCAAACAAGTGGTCGACTGCGCCGATTATGCGCTTGCGCTCGTCTACAGCTGTTGAGAGGCAATCGAGTCGTTCTCGCTCTGTCCGGCTGCAACACGTCTTGTCCATGTCAGCTTGACCGAACCTGGGCGAAGGCGCCCGATTTGCCAGGCAGCCTGAGTGCCCGGTGTTTCAGCCTCACCAATTCCAGCTCTCCGCAATTCTCAACGGACAGCTCAGAAGTCTGGTTCTAGAGGGTCCACGACACGCGAGGCTACTGTACGTGGCCACCACCTTTACCGGACTGTGGAGCCGATCGAAGAATCTGGTCGACAGCTCGACGGCGCGTCTTGGACCTTCTGCAGAAAGGCCTCGCACTCCCACGCAGGATCAAACGTGCCTGGCGGCGGGCCTAAGAGCGATCTTCATGTACCGCCTGCTGGGCAGCCACCGATAGCCAACAGCCGTCAGGGGTTTGCCTCGCCAATTTCTAAGCACTTCCATTCGCGGTCCGTCCGAGCTGCAAGTGCGGGAACTCTGCTCATGCATGCTGATGCGAGGATGCACGCTGCAGACGTGCTCATCGTGCACAAGGCGTGCGAATGATTCGAATCCAACCCAATGCGGTATTCAGCATAAGGCCAGTCCGTATGGCGCTATTGCCACCAGCGGGGATTCTCTGCTGAGGCCGCTGCGGACTCTCGGTGACCGAGTCGTGGTACCAGAGCTCCGGTTGATGGACGTGGCTGCAGGAAACGTTACAACAGTGCAAAGAGCGAGGCGACATAACAATGTACTGTGTATAAGCCGTATCTTTGATTGCGGCCCTTGCTGCCGTCGCGCCCGCTCGAGGAAGTTGGGCGAGCCGTTATTCAAGAAAAGTGCCCCTGACAGCGCCGTGCACCGTGCTCCGAGACGGACCCTGCGAATGGGCAGGGATATGCTTCTCATTTCCTCGAACCGAAACTTGTGAAAGCCACCCATGCTAGTCTTCGGGTCGTTCAACCCCCAGCATCCAGTCCGCGCGCTGCGGCAGAGCTCCCCAAAAGCCATGATTCCCCCTTGCTGCTACCCTCCTCTACTGCCCGCAGCAAGGTGACCTCGGAGCTCTCAATTGACGGAGTGCGTATAGTACTCACGGTCCGCTCTCTCTTGTTCTCGCGGGTTGCCTTTCGGATACCTTTCACGCATCGCCTCATGTTCTCACAGTTATAGCTGTCATAATAATTGCTGGATTCATCCGCCTGCCGTTCTCTACACCCATACCGCAACGGCCATCTCGATAGGACCGACATCGAATCCGCCAACATGGCACCTTCTTTAAGTTTGCGACCGCGTACAGGCGCCAGCGAGCGTCCTCCCACGAGAGACAATGCCGACCACAGCCTTATCATCCCGAGCCGGACATCGTCGCTTCATTCGAGGATCACCCAACCGCTTCCATCGACTTTGAACGTCAAGCAGGGCGCGCGGAGCCCCAAGACCCTGACCCATGCCTACATGGTGTGTGGTGTTGGTCGCGAGCCATCACAATGGGTGAAGGCGCCTGCGCCCTCTCAGGGCAAGATTGGCCACATGAAGGGCGCTGTTGGTACCTTCTGGCTTCCTGAGATTCTGGGAAGCAGTCCAAGACTGGAGCAGGATAACGAGATCGCGAGGTCTCTTCATGCTGCCATGCGAGTACGTCTATACAACAATGTCATTGTTAGCGCGCTACTAACCACGCACACAGGCATGTTTCCCCCACGACGTCGAGATCTGCACTGGCAGGAGCCAGCCGCACTGCGTACACCACTCCTTCGTCCTGCAGCAAGATTCCTCACACACTCTTTACGGTATCGCACTGCGCGTCTGGTCTCGCGCTGATGAGAAGCGCGCTGAGACTATTCGCGACCTGCGCAAGCGAATCGAGCCCGACTTCTTCGACAACCCAGACGAGACATACTGGATCCCGTACTGCCTGAGCTTCCTCTCCCGATACCCCTTGTACAACCTACTCGGCGACTACCTGCGCGGCATGTGGATTCACTGGAATAAGGCTACCAACCTTTTCCATGCCGAGGAGGTTTCACGCATCCTCAGCTTCCCAGCTCCTCGCCTCAACGACCTGGTCCGCATCGACATGAAGGATTACGCGCTGTGCTACCAGTTCCCATCCTCGCCTACCGGATTTCAAAACTTCGCCATGTGGCCCCTCTTCACGTGTCTCTCAATTCCCAACATTGTGGGTGTGATAGAGGCTGCTGTATCGCCCACACGACGAATCATCTTCACCAGTCACTACCCCGCGATGCTCACCATCGCAGCCGAGACAGTCCGTTTCTGTGTCCGGGTGTACGAGTGGAGCGGTCTGTATGTACCCGTCGTTCATGCGCGTCACGTCAAGGATCTCGTGCAGGAGCCGGGCCCATACATTCTGGGTGTAACATCAGAGTGCCGATCGCTCTTCACGGCTCCCACAGATGCCCTTGTCGTCGACTTGGACCGGAACTTCGTCCTGACTTCAAGCCCGCCTACCGCTCTTACCGCCGGCCAGAGGACCAAGATGATCCAGCGTCTGACTCAGGCTCTCAACGGTGAGGTTTCACCAACCGGAGTTCCACAGCATCTGCGCTCGGCGTACGGTGGCGGCAAGCTCATTCCCGCGGGTCAAATCATTGTGATGCGTGGTGAGGTTGAGAGCATCCAGGACCCCGACTGGTGGACCCAGGATGCTGTCATGTCGGTCATGGACCACGTGTGTGAGAAATTGGTATGTATCCGGTTGCGCATAGACTCATCGTACCACACGCTAACATCACCGCAGGGCCGCAACACTGGCGTTAAGGCTATCTTCGGTGGCTCTGTCAAGAAGCCGCTGATGACCAAGGTGTCGATGCGCCACCTCAACGAGATCGTTCGCGAGCGCAACCAGTACTCCCGTGACGCACAAGAAGCCTGGACAGACTTCATCAACCTCAAGCAGCGCCTCGACAGCGAGCTTGGCAAGGTTACAAAGCGCAACAACTTCTTGGTCGAGGAGCTTGAGAGCTGGAAACAACAGTTCCTCAAGTTCCAGGCTTTCGCCGAGCAACTCACCAAGGAGACCCAGGATCTCAAGGTCAAGATCGAGAACCACAAGCGTGAGAACCGTCGTCTTACAAGCCTTATCGACCAACAGAAGGATGATGCCGCAAGGCTCACTGTCCGTCTGTCCGGTACTGAGAAGCAACGTGACGACGCCCTCGAGGCGCTTGTACTACAGCAAGAGATTGCTGAGGAGCTCGAGCGCGAGAGGAAGAAGAACAAGAAGGAGCTTGGTGCTCTGCAACATACCAACGGTGCCATCCAGCGCCAGCGCGACGAAGCGCAACGGGTTGTGCTCCACCTTCGTGCTCTTATCGAGGGTCAGACCCACCACATGGAGCACATCGTCAAGTCCCTTAACCAGGATGACATGTCCAACTATATGGATGCCGGCTTCGAAGACGTGCCTGAGGAGGATGAGGACCAGGAGGAGTTTGAAGACGCGGCGTCGCGCCATCAAACCCCCCGTCACTCGATCAAGGACAAGTCTGAGGTCGGTACCATCCGCGGCGTAGCCGGTGTTGAGAGCCGCCAGGAGTCAAGAGCCAGCACTGCGCAGGGCAAGCACCTCGACGGTGAGGACGTTACACCCGACATGGAGCAGCGTCTATTCAACAACCCCGCACGCAACTCCAAGCGCTTCTCAAATCAATCAATGGTCGACGTCGCCGACCGTGTCCTTCGGGACAAGACCGACGCCATCGCCTACATCATCCGCAACATCTCAGAGCAGTGCGCTGCAGCTGTTGAGGGTCTTCAGCTCGCACAGCGTGCTGACACAGAAGATGGCGACAACCACAGCGACCGCCGCAGCAGCGTTGGTCAGATGTCATCGGCCGGAGGCCGCGCGCAATCGACTATTGGCAGCGAGTACGGCGACGAGGACAACATGCTCCGCCCCAACCGGGGTTCAAGCATCCCCCCAACGCCCGATCTAAGCCATCGGTCCAGCACCTCCATGTCCATGGCCAGCGCCAGCACAACACCAGATCGGACGAGCCTACAGCACCGATCGCACGACATCCCTGTCGTACCAACACGCATCATCGAAGACGATGACGACGTAGACGGTAACAACGATCTCGACGCTCACATGGTTCCCGTGTCCAAGTACGCGCAACCACTGCAGCGCCCCAACACCGCTGTACGCCACAACATGCGATAAGCTAGTCGTCGCCGCGGCTTGCCGCCCTTCTTCCTCTACTTTGTTTTTATCATTAGCGATCGAAACGAGATTAGCATTGATGCCCTTTTCCTTACCATGTTACCTACCCCCGGCGTTGAACGGCTAGGGACCCTATTTTCTTGCTTTGCACTTCGTTACTCTCCTTGAGAACACCCCCTTGTCCGACGACCCCCCTTGTGTACTTTGGGTCATTCCTTATGTTTCAATGAGAAGAGTTGTTGTCGTCGTTGTGGATCATACCCGAACAAAGATGGATGGATGGAAGCAACTCCAGTATGTGGGTATCAGAGCCTAAGAATCGGTAGTGGTGGAAAAGCGCTTTCTGGGAGGATTGTATTCTCCAAGGGAGCTGTCTTTTTCTGCCATTGCGCTAGGCAGATGGGCAGATGGCTCTTGTGTATGTCTGCTTGTAATTTGTTGTTTTGTTAGGATAATACCACTTTCTCCTTATGTTCTGAAATACATATGATCTACCTATATCGCCTCTCCATTTGCTGTTTGTGAACTCGACCCGACTTCCACTAGCTGTCTACACAGTATCTCTGTCAAGCAGTCCAGAAGGGCACTCATCCCATCCTACATCGTATAGCCTGTCCACTGACCCTTCACTTGAACACTGAACACCGGCAGGGCTTGCGTCATACTCACGCGACTAACCACATTCGCAGCAATAGTCACCAGACCAAGCTACTCACTACAAACCCACAGCAGGCTATAAGCGCACGAGTTCGCTGCAGTCTCATTCCAAACCACTACCACTGTCAACTATGGCCTCAATCAACGACCCCACTATCGCCCTAGGCGATAACTTCACAAAGCTCTCTGGACCCGAGAACTTCATAGACTGGTTCCAGTCTTTCAAGGACATCGCGAAGATCCACGGTTACGCTGAATACTTCAAGGACAACGCTCAAGTAGTCGCAAAGCCCATTGCGTCCGCCTTCCTCGCACCTCAACAAGCCGCCGATCAAGGAGCAGAGCACTCTGTTCCGCAGGATTGGGAGTACCACCTCGCCGTTTATAACACTCGTCTTCAAGAATGGAAGGACTATGATGTGGCCTCTCGCTCGGCTTTAGCCCTCCTCCACGCTGCTATCGAGCCATCGGTGTGGATGAAGGTCAGGAATACCAACTCGCCAGCTTCCGCATTGAAGGCCGTTATCCGCCACATGAACGACGAAACGCCTAACAACGTCCTGGCAGACCGCGCTCGGACGGTGATCAGCTCTCTTGACTTAAGGACGTCAACTGCGGTTCGCCAATTCGTCGTCGACTTCAATGAGCTCTATGGAGAGGTGTATTTCGATGCGGACATTTCTACTTGGGCTATCGAAAAGATCAATGCAGCCCTGCCTCGTTCGTACCATACGCTCGTCGAAGACCATAAGCGCCTCAGTGGTAAGATCACCTTCACTGGGCATACCTTCAAAGGGTATCGGTCTCATCTTTTCAACCATGTTGAAGAGGATGACCCCCCGGAAATGAATAACAAGGCTCGCAAAATCTCCCGCTTGAGATAAATCTATGTGGGGATTTGTCATCATGTCGATCGAGCTTGCCGGTCGTGCTTGAGATCTTAAGTTAAACTAGATAGCTCTATTAACTTAGCTTTAGACCTCGCATAATACTAATCAGGCTCGTGTAGCCATTTACTGGTAAGTCTAGCTCCGAGAACGGCAACTACATAGTCTAGCCTGTATATGGATACTACCCCAAGATTCAAAGCTAGAACACGTGTGATCTTTAACTTTTAGCTATGACAAGTCAAATGTCTTCCGTGACTAGTGCATCTGAAAAAGTAGTTCTCGCTACTGTCCCTTTGACATAGTAGAAACGTGCAAAGGAGGCCGACCGACCTGTATCAATAGGACCGAAGATATCAACCATCAAGTCGCGCTAAGAACTCGAGGCGGACGGATGATCTTGGTGAGATAGGCAATTAGAGTCACCCCGTCGAATAGAATTATTGAAAATTTAGCTACAGAAGATTACAAAGACGATAAATCGCAGAACCTAAGAGCCTACAATACGTTCAAGTTGGAGAAAACCTCATTCTTACATTAACGTAGACGGCAGCGCACCTGTTCAGATTTCTTCACTGTCCAATACAAAGGGAAGAATAGAAGAGTTGGCAAAGAAGAGCACAGTAGGAAGAGAAGCTTGCCATTTCCTCAGTTTTCCGCTCCATCAACTATGTTGCTCACAAGTCGTCCGATGTAATAAAGCTTAGGGCTTGGGCAAGTCAAGCCTCTCAACCAAGCTTTCTTGCTTCTAACCCTTTTGCTAACCAAGCCAAGCATTCTGGATTAATTAGCTTAGTTGTTGACATTTCTGCCAAACAGAGTATTTCGAGGTTGTGACACTTGTCGGGACGTGTGACATGTTGCCGGTCTTATTGACGTTGCCATGAGACTGTACAGGCTTGTCCGGTTGGACGGACGTCTTAAGGAGCTTGTTGTTAGAAGAAGATGTCCGAAACTAGCGATAAGGTAGAAGGAATTAGAAGCTGCGTTATACTCAGTTATCAACGAAGCATACTTGACACGATGGCTTTGACCTTAGGGTATTGCGCTTTGTCATGTCTTGTGATTTCAAGTTTGGAGGGTGAGACGTTATCCTCAGATACTCCATAGTTATTGTACCACATGTTCTACGATCCTTCGATTGTCGCACCTGTAGAATGTAACATATTTCGACGATGTTAGAACACATACCAACACAACAATCCAACCCCTCACCTTCCACCATCCAAAAACCACTCCCACATTCTTCGGTCGTCATCCCCTTCGATCAAGTACCCCGGATCTACAATACATAAAAACCGTTATGCAATAACCGATCAATTATACATGTTTCATGCACCTCGCGGCAAAGGAATTAGTTCGCATAAAAATGTCAACACCTTACTGTAATCATACTCCTCGTACCGAGTCTACTGCGGCTGTGCGGGGAACGCAGCGGTGTGATCACGTTCAGCGGGCTGCAGACGCGAGATGCAGTTGCATGACTCGTCGTTGGCTTGCGTGCATTTTGGGCAGGAACCAACGTTGGATCGACGGGGAGCAGGAAAAAAACGGTCAGACATGAGAACGCGGTTGCGAAAGGCGAGCTAAAAGAGAAAGGGTTTGGAGATTTGGAGATTGGAGTAGGTGGGTACGGTATGTGAGATATTTTGGTCGTGGGTTGGTGGATGGAGACGGTTGACGGGAGTTTAAGCGGACGGTGTGGTGTGTCCGTGCTCGTGCTGATGGCAGACCTGCACGATGTCTGACAATTCAGGTTGTGAGAACGTAGTATCCATAGCAAGCAAAGATTTGGTTCATTGCCGATATGGTGGTCTGATGTTGTATGCATGTTGGAGTTGGTTTTGATCGTCAAGGTGCCGGTGATGCTAGGTCGTCGTCGCATTCATGATTCCGACGTGTACGTATAATCTGTAGCGCATCTCTTACATCTTTTAGTAATCTGAAGAGCGTGATGTACGCATCTAGTGATGTAAGCAGATCCTGGTAGCAGCAGATTTGACCGCACTGCGCGGAGGGTTTCGACATTGCATCCGCAGCCGCAGCCTAAGATGGATAACTCCCTGTGTTCATGCATCAATCTAGAACTCGGCCTTGTTCTGGCTGCATGCAACCGCAAAAGGTTATGAATCCAACGGTTTTACCGTTGAGGTTTGAGAAGTATGTTGAGGGGGGTAGTCCTGCAATGTCAGGTCTCTAGGCGGGTCGAGCCGAGATGTGTCCGACGTCTCCAAGAATGTAAGTGGCTTGTTCTAGAAGAGCTAACTTTAGAAAGTATTGACCGGCTGGTAGTGTAGCAGATGTTACAGCCTCATGCCACATTTTGCTCGACGTTGAAAGTGTCAGAAGGCCACGTAGGCGGCGTAGCTATAGCGGACGTTACAGGAAATCGACGGTCTGTCTACTCGCATGAGACCGAGCTCGATTGAGTTCATAGTCGATCGCAGTTTGACGTACCCGATAGCCGTTGCTATCATCCCGGTTTGGAAGATGCTCGATTGGTTGCTCGCATCCCGTCGCGGGCCCTAGCAGTTTCCCGTGAGTGAAGGACCACAAAGCGGAGTCAACGGCTCGGGTGCATTGGAAACGGGCCGTAATGGAATGACAATTTGTCAAAAAAGGACAGAATATGTGTGGCGAGATGGAAGAGAAGCGAATACGGCGGGTGGTAATCTTGACTCGGTGTCCGAATGCAGTCAGAATAAAGTTCGACGTGGGGCCAGGTTGCAGTAGCCGACATCTCGCGTGTAGCGCACGTGTAAGACGGTGAATGTCTCGGAGTAGTGGAAAGCTACACAGCGCTGATAACTTTATTACTGGTATTACCCCGCACTCTTTGCAACGTCGAAAACTGGCAAGCAGAGTATAGAACGGCCTTACCTTCATGTCTTGAGCTCACGACATAGTTGCGTCGAGCATCTCCACTTCCCGGCCACGTGCCGGCTTTGCAGATTCTGAGACGAACGGTGGACCGGGGTTGGCGGTATGCAGCTAGCCATGGTATCTTGAAGAACTCGTGGCTCGGGTGTGCCAACTTGGAACTTGTAACGATAGTGGGTCCTGATCTTCCTTCGGTCCTAGTGCGGAAAGGACGAGAGACAATGGCATCAGCCGCGCTTTTTGTGCTGGATAGTACTGGATGAGTACCTGTTTCATGAGCTTGGGGTAGAGCTCGATGCGTAGGGTCATACACAATGATATTGGTGACAATAGCAGCCGGCTTATCTCCAACAATCGACGACAAACTCCGCAGTGGGGTCATGATCCGCGAAGAAACAAGGCATGTCGTGCATATGGGTCCCGTAGTCGCGAATTTAGTATCTATAATAGCCGGCTGCTATTACATTGTGGATAACAAAATTAGTATGCAAGCGGTTGGGCATCATCGCACTTACCGTGTTGCCGACCTACTCGGGGCTCAGTTACTACCGTGGGAAGGCAGTAGCGACGGCAGATTTTGCGGATGTGCTCGAGATGTTGCTATGACTCTCGCTCGAAGATAGGCCGCTGGACCATAGTGGTTGGCATCTCCGCTCATCTCCGTCTGCACTGTTAGCATTCTCTGGGCGAGTGAAATGAGGCGGGCAGGGCGAAGCAAAGTGAGTGTTGGAATATATGAAGATAAGGCATGGACGCTCAATGAGGAAGCGACGTTGGAGATAATGACGACATGTCTCAGTATTTTCAAGGTTGCACGATGCACAGTCACAACACGTTGCTCATCGCGGGGTCATTTACTGGCTGAGGAAGGCACGCAGGTTGTGCTCAGTTGATAGCACGCATAGTATTGACATGCCGCCTCGTCTCGAAGGGCGTCAGCTGCCGGTCACGTGGGGGTCACAACTTCCAAGGCTGCCTGTCTTGGACCATTTGCTTCACATTCAAGTTTGATTCCCAGCTACAACCTTGGAGGTGCATATATCTAACGTACAATGATGCTTGTTGATGTAAAGACGGATAAAAAGTGGCGGGAGAGTCTAGGCGATGGGACTTCCTAGTTGGGACGTAGTGCGCCTGCGCGCGTGGACATGAATCACTCAGGCACAGTGCGTCTATGTAGTCTGATGGCAAGTTCCAGCAGGTAGCGGACGTCTAGGAGAATTGCGAGCATATATTCCGGAGTAGGGTACCGTCCGCGGGAGGGACTATGCTAGACTCATGGATGGTTTAGGAGTTTTGACAATTTCGCAGAAAGGGGGTGTGGTGGATGGCGAGCCAAAGCCACATGGCGCTGGTCGAGGGCGCTAGAAACAATCACGTTCTCTCGTACAGCGGCGGTGGCTTGATGCGTCTGCAGGAAAGGAGCATGGTCAAGGGGCTCGGTAGTTTTGCGCGTGTAGTGATGCCCCTCTCTGACTGCGGTTTCCACAGAGGTGCTGCAGCTTCGTCACCTGTGCCAAGAGCAGGGACGGGTAGTTCGCGTAGGATTGGCAAGCGCTGAAACACGCTATTAATTGTACCTGAAAGGCCGGCGCAGCGACGCGAGGCGGCATAATGGAAGCAATTGTTTCCTCGCAAGTGAGATGAGGCTGAGGGATCTACAGCCGCATACGCTGGGTGCGGACGACAAGGCCGGGAGCGGGCTGCCGACGCATGAAAGGCATTGCGCGTGCTATGCTCGAGCTTCCATGCGGCATGACAAAGATGCGGCGCCTTGTTCAGGTTAGAGATGGTCAGAGATGGACAAGGAGAATTGGAAGGAACGGCCGCCGATCGCTAGTGAGGCAAGACTAGCCCTGGAGGTCTACTCCGGAGTAGATGGTGAAAGCTAGAGGGGCTCGAAGCAGGGGGGAAAGTACATGGAAACAAAGTTTGAGACATGATTATTCCCCCGCAGCGGTCCAATGGCTGGCAGGGCTGCAACGCTGAAGGGCTGCTCAGGTGGACGCAGGGGAAGAGAGAGCGTCGCCCGGCTGGGGTGGGACCGGCGAGCAATTGACTCGAGGTCAGGCAGCTCAGGCAGTCTTACAGGTGATTGACGCCGAGGTTATCTGGGT